ATATTTAGTGTGGTTTTATAAAAACATGGAACAACATAACTGTTCAGTTTTTCTGAATTATTATTCTAGGATCAAGACAACCTTTAATCCAACAATCTCAACCTCCACCTTATTCATCACCTAGAGATGTTCCCCCAGACATATTGTTAGACTCTCCAGAAAGAAAGCAAAAGAAACAAAAGAAAATGAAGTTAGGCAAGGATGAAAAAGACCAGACTGAAAAAGCTGCAATGTATGATATCATTAGTTCTCCTTCCAAGGACTCCACTAAGCTTACATTAAGACTCTCTCGTGTAAGATCTTCGGATATGGACCAGCAGGATGATATGCTTTCTGGTTTGGAAAACAACAGTGTGTCAGAGGGTGATATTCCTTTTAATGTGCAGTACCCAGGACAGACATCTAAAACACCCGTTACTCCACAGGATGTTAACCGCCCATTAAACTCTGTTCAGTGTTTGCTGCAGCATGAACAGACAGCTTTCCTTCAGGCACAACAAGTGCCTGTTTTACAACAGAACACTTCAGTTGCTGCAAAACAACCTCAAACTCCTGTGGTACAGACACAGCAACAGGTTTCGCAACAAGGAGCTATATCGTCATATGATGAAGTAGAATTGGATGCATTGGCTGAAATTGAGCGGATAGAACGTGAATCAGCTATTGAAAGGGAGCGATTTTCAAAAGAAGTGCAAGATAAAGGTAAAAGGATTGTGTGTGTGTATACACTATATATATTATAAAAGTATATATATGCATATAAACCCCATATATATATATATATAAAAAGCTTCCTGTCATTGTCACACAGTACAATTGTCTTTACTCAGTGTAGGTGGTTCTATGACATTCATTACCATTCCCCTTAAACAATGAATTATAATCTCTCATATATACATTTTTAAAATATCTAGCATTCTTTATTTGGAATCTTAATGGATGGAAAGGGAAGTTCTTATGTTTCAAAATTCTTTTTAAGCTACCCTTATTTTGAACCATGAGACTGAATGAAATACCATTGACATTGTTTATAGTTTCTAAAATCACATCAGTACCATAAGTAAAAACTTGTAATAAGTTTTGATAGTTTAACTATTAATTAACTATGTTGTCTAACTTAAGGAAATACAGGAAAACTCTTTTATGCCATTTCTATTCATATCCCAATTTGAACCTTATGTCAAGGAAGTATTAGACTAAAATCATATCTACTCTTTTAAAGGCACTGTAATGATTGAATAATATATACTACTATATTGTCTCCAATGTTTGTTCAACTGGATATTCATTATTATGTTGGCATTACAAGTTTCAGAGATCTACCATATATCTATACAGTCTAGCAAAGAACCAGATAAGCCTCTGAATTGTTTGCTCTTCAGTAGCTTTACTAGTTGTCCTAACTGATTTAATTGAATCTATCCTCTTTGATTTTTTCTTTTCTTTTTTTTTCTATTTTTTTCTCTTTTTTCCTATTTTTCTTTTTCTTTCTTTTTTTCCTTTGTTTTTATATCAAAAGTGGATGCAAACCCCACATGTAAATTTTGAAGATAAGATGTGTTTTTTAAAGTAAATAATGATAGGTTAACATAAGTATTTTTCAGAAGCTTCCTCTGCACTGTGTTTAACTCCTTCTAAAAAAAAATCTTTTATAGTATAATGCTAATTTTTTAGTGTAGTGGGTTGACCCTGGTTAGATGCCAGATACCCACTAAAGCTGCTCTCTCACTCGCCTCTACAACCGGACAGAGGAAAGTAAATATGAAGACGGATCCGTGAGTTATGAACTGGGACAGGTCACTTACTGATCACCATCACTGGCTAAACAGACTCAAAGTGGGAATATTAATTAAATTTATTACTAACAGGATCAGAGCAAAAGAGTGAGAAGTAAAAGAATATTAAAAACACCTTCCCCCCACCCCTCCTTCCTTCCAAACTCTACCTCCTTCCCCCCCCAGCAGTGCAGGGAGACAGGGAATGGGGGTTATGGTCAATTGTTGTTTCTGTCACTGCTCAGAGAGAAGAGTCCTTCTCCTGCTCCTGTGGGGTCCCTCCCATGTGAGACAGTCCTTCACAGACCTCTCCAACGTGAGTCCATCCCAAAGGCAACAGTTCTTCACAAAACTGCTGTCCCGTGGGTCACTCCTCCATGGGGTGAAGTCCTTCGCCAATGAGCTGTACTGGCATGGGTTCCCCACAGGGGCCACAAGTCCTACCCAGGAAAAACCTGCTCCATCTTGGGCCTCCCACAGGGCCACAGCCTCCTTCAGATATCCACGTGCTCCAACATGGGCTTCTCCATGGGCTGCACGTGAGTTTCTGCACCCCAAGGGTCCTCCATGGGCTGCAGGGGGACAGCCTTCCTCACCATGGTCTTCACCACGGGCTGCAGGAGCCTCAACTCTGGCACCTGGACCACCTTCTCCCCTTCCTTCTGCACTGACCTTGGTGCCTACATTGTTGTTCCCATGTTCTCACTCTGCTTTTCCCTGGCTAGAATTTTTCACTGCACAATAACTTTCTGTTCCTAAATATCTCAGAGATGTTACTATTACTCCTGATTGGCTTGGCCTTGGTCAGTGGCAGGAAGTCTATCTTGGAGCCGGCTGGCATTGGCTCCACGGGACAGGGTAAGCTTCTAGCAGCTTCTAACAGAAGCCACCCCTGTAGCCCTCCTCACTACCAAAACCTAACCACAGAAACCCACTACAGTTAGATACTCCCTTTCTGTTTTTAAAAATGTCTGGAGATAGAGTGAGAGAGTTGCATTTGTGTGTGTGTAAATGTTCTTGTTGCAGTTATTAAAAGGATTAACTTTTTAGGTATTTCTCATTTGTTAACTAAATCAAGTCTTGTTAGAAAACATTGTGAATATACAGAGAAAATGGGTGCTCACCTTAAAAGATATCTCTATTGCCTTTAATTTTGATTTAATGAAATGGTGGAATTGGTTACTTTGCTTACATTTCTTCTGATTTTATTTATGGATAGCTTGTGGTTTGTCTTCTACTACTTAAAAAGCTACTTTTATATCCCCATATTTTGAGTAGATTCTCCAGCACATTTTAGCTGAGAAGCATCTCAAAAAAATGCACTGTATTTTTGATGGTGTACATCAGTCTTCACTTAGAGTGAGACTAAAACACTCTTTCTCTTTTATTCTGGTTTTCAGGAACATTAGTTGGGAAGTTTATTTACCATAATTACATAACCATGGGCAGACTGATTTGTTTCTTTTGGAGAAAGAAGTGATTTTTATAGAATGTGATCTCTCCCTTTCACCACTGTTCAATATCCATATTACCAGTTAAGGATTCCAACCTTATGCTTCCCTTCTACCTGCATCCTCTGGCAAGTCTCAGTTCTTCCTGAGTTCTTGTAATTGCTGTGGATCAGGTGCAAGAGTTGCTGCCTTATATTGGGCCAAATGATCACCATTTATTCACTGGTGGTAAGTTACCCCTATGCCAGACAGCAGTTTTTTTCACTTTAGCTGCTGAGGTTTCAGCTATGAATTAATAGTATTGAGTAGAGGGATTTATAGGAGTCTTGGGACAGATTTCCTGAAAAGCTGTTACCTTGGAGAAATATGATTCTTATTTTTTGGTAACACTTTTACTGTTGTTTGTAATTTTGTACTATGTCTACAAGTTGATACACTCTGGGATTGTTCTAGTTATGTGTTTTGGTGTGACTGTAGCAGGAAGCTTCCTCTATTGTTCCTATGAGAGTATGTTGGAGAAATATCCAATAACTCCTAAATTTAATTAATTTTTGGGAAGTTGCTTACTGTATTTATGCAAAAGCCTGGCATTTGCGCATTTTAGTACATCTACTGTAACTTCAGATCACATTATATCAAGAAAAGACTGTACTTGTAGCACGTGCTCAGACTAATTAGAACAGGAACATATAGTGCTAGCTGATGCTGTACATAGCAAGTGTTCCTCTAGAGATTTTACTCTAGATACTAGCACATGGTAAAATCTGCATGAAAGCATTTGCTTTTGAAATGCTTTTGAAAGCATTGCTGCTTTTGTAATTGAGACATGGGGATACATATTACAGTCACACTACACTTTCTGTGTAGGTATGTGTTGTTGTCTTCCATAAATTAGAGTAGAATTGTACTCACAAGTTTTCATAGAAGATTAGTGGTCTCTTTTGTCATTTTTTAGAATCATAGAACCATAGAACCATAGAATATGCTGAGCTGGAAGGGACCCACAAGGATCATTGAAGTCCCAACTCCTGGCCCTGCACAGGATATTCTAAGAATCCCACTATGTGCGTGAGAGCCTTGTGCAAATGCTCCTTGAACTCCAGCAGGCTTGGGGCTGTGACCACTGCCCTGGGGAGCCTGTTCCAGTGCCCAATCACCCTCTGGGGGAAGAATCTTTTTCTAATATCAAACCTCCCCAACACAACTTGAGGCTGTTCTGTTGGGTCCTGTCACTGGTCACGAGAGTGAAGAGATTGGTACCTGCCTCTCTGCCTCCCCTCATGAGGATGTTGAAGACCACAATGAGGTGTCCCCTCAGTCTCCTCTTCTCCAGGCTGAACAGATCAAGCGCCCTCAGCCACTCATCATGCAGCTTCCCCTCAAGGCCCATTTTCATCATCCTCCTCTGGACACTCTCTAATAGTTTAATATCTTTCTTATATTGCGTTGCCCAAAACTGCCATAATATTCCAGGTGAGGCTGCCCCAGTGCAGAGCAGAGTGGGACAATCAAACCTACTAATTTCTTTGGGTTTTTTTTCCCTATATATTTTACCTCTGAGGATCCATTTTACCTACTTTGGAATCTTACTGTAGATTCTTTGAATTAGGGAGAAGTGAAGCGATAATAGTTTTATTTTCAATAATTGGATCGGTTAGGGGGCATTTGGATGCCTGTTTTGGGCCCTTCTTTTTTTAGTTCATTTCAAGCCCATAGGAGCAGACACACCCATCCCAAGAGTGTGAATCTGCCAGAGCAAAACTCAAAACTACATTTATAGGTAAGTAAATTTTTTCTTACCTTTTAAGTTCTTTTTCAACTCCTTTCCCTTTCTCCCATTACCCATCTTCCCCCAAAAGAAGAGACAAGAACACTATTAAGAATTAATAGTTTGTTTACCACTAATTTTATGTAGCCAATCAATGAAATGACAGATTGTATAATTATAACCAGTATATTACTATTAATTTTCAAAAATATGTTATAGGGAGTTTATTTACTCAAAAATAGATATAAGAGTGCAGTCATTTGCATAGTAATCTTACAGAAGATTACAGTTATTAATACCAGAAGGTGAAATGAGACAGTGTAAAATATAAATTATTATGTCTCTATGTAGTAGAACAGTGTGAGAATTGGGTACCATGTATTTTGTGTATAGAAACTTTGATTAGGTCTGCATTTTGTAGTGTTATGTAATGGATGAAACTGGCACCTGATGTAGCTTTCCCAAGTGTGATGGGTTGACCTTGGCTGGATGCCAGGTGCCCACCCAGCCGCTCTATCATGTGACCGAGAGGGCACAGAGTAACTGCACGGCAGACCAATGTGATCGATAGGCAGATCTCGTTTATTATGTGTTACAGCATTTATTTTATATTCTCACACACACACGTCACTTCATCATTGGTTAACTATAGGTACATGTCACTACATAATTGGCCTGCAATAGTTAAACATACTTCTTACTAGTTAG